ATTGATTTTCTGAGATAACTTGACTCATAATGGGTCATTTAAGGGTTAATAATCATGTTTCTTTTTTTCTCTGAATGTAATTACCGTATGATCGAATAACTTGGGACTGTATTTTGGTCTTATTGAACAGTATGTAAATTATCAAATCGAATTTCATGTTTTAAAAGCAGTAAGAAAAGTCCAGTAACAAAACCGTTCTTATTGAACAGAATGTAAATATATACCGAATCCAAATTTGAGTCCAACCAGAAAGGGAAAAATCTAACACTAATTTAGATTATATTTTGATACTGGCATTCACAAACAAAAACTAAGTAAAAAAATTATGAAAAACACTGATCAGTCGTAATGAAAAAAAAAAATTTCGAAGAATATTGAACACTTCTAAACTCTAATTTCGGATATACAAAAAGTGAAAAACTCGATTAGGATAGGTGGATTCGGTATCTAAACCGACCAGATTGGGCCAAAGCCCAAATACTTAAGATCCAGGCAAGGAAGAACTTTGCACACGTATTGGTGCTCGCTTTTGAATGACGTGGCAAACTGTGATAGGCTAGCCTCTCGTGGCGAACGATATTCATTGGCAGAAGAAACTCAAAATGACGTTCTAATACAGACGCAGAGCATATATATATTTGTGTCGGAGAGTAAATCGGAAAAATATATCTCCAATCTCTGATCTGTTTCTTCTGTCTTTTAATCGATTTTGATTAGTTGCGAGGATGAGAGAACGTATCTTTACATTAGCTTCGCTGCTTCTTGTAGCTTTGGTTTCGTTTCAGAGTCTCTGCTACTGTGACGAGCAAACGGTACAAAAATTCATCAATTTCGTTGGTGAAAGTTTCTGTTTTTAAGATTTGTTCATGGAATTTCTTCTAACCCCTGATCTTTTGTTTTTCTTGTTCAGGTCCTGTATGAATCTTTTGACGAGCCTTTTGATGGTCGCTGGATCGTATCAGAGAAAGAGGAGTATCAAGGTAAAGCTTCGATTTTTGTTTGGAATTTTGGGTACTTTTTGTTCATTGAAGTTTAAGTGATTGAAGTTAGTATCAAATGAGAGAAAGTTAGTTAGTGGATTTATGTTTTTATGTAGAACAGATTTAGTAATTTTTGCATCTTGTTTAAACCCTTAAGGTGTGTGGAAGCATGAGAAGAGTGAAGGGCATGATGATTATGGACTTGTAGTGAGTGAGAAAGCTAGAAAATACGGGATAGTGAAAGTGCTTGATGAGCCATTAGACCTCAAGGAAGGAACTGTTGTTCTACAATATGAAGCTCGTTTCCAAGAAGGGCTTGAGTGTGGTGGTGCTTACATTAAGTACCTTCGTCCTCAAGAATCTGGTTGGGTTCCTCAAGGTTTTGATAATGAGTCTCCTTACTCTATCATGTTTGGACCTGACAAGTGTGGTGCTACGAACAAGGTTCATTTCATTTTGAAACACAAGAATCCGAAGAGCGGCGAGTATGTGGAGCATCATCTCAAGTTTCCACCTTCTGTTCCGTATGATAAGCTTACTCATGTCTACACTGCAATCTTGAAACCTGACAATGAAGTGAGGATTTTGGTTGATGGCGAGGAGAAGAAGAAGGGTAATTTGCTGTCGTCTGAAGACTTTGAGCCTCCGTTGATCCCTTCCAAGACGATTCCTGATCCGGAAGACAAGAAACCGGAAGACTGGGACGAGAGAGCCAAGATTCCTGATCCTAACGCTGTGAAGCCTGAAGACTGGGATGAGGATGCACCTATGGAGATCGAAGATGAGGAAGCTGAGAAACCCGAAGGATGGTTGGATGACGAGCCTGAAGAGGTCGATGACCCCGAGGCAAGTAAGCCGGAAGATTGGGATGATGAGGAAGATGGTGAGTGGGAGGCTCCTAAGGTTTCAAACCCCAAGTGTGAGGCAGCACCCGGATGTGGCGAATGGAAGAGACCGATGAAGAGGAACCCTGCTTATAAGGGCAAATGGAGCACGCCTCTTATAGATAACCCTGCTTACAAGGGAATTTGGAAACCAAGAGACATTCCAAACCCTGACTATTTTGAGCTTGACAGGCCGGATTTCGAACCCATTGCTGCCATTGGTATTGAGATTTGGACAATGCAAGACGGTATCTTATTTGACAACGTCTTGATAGCTAAAGACGAGAAGGTTGCAGAGACCTACAGACAAACAACTTGGAAGCCCAAGTTTGATGTTGAGAAAGAGATTCAAAAAGCAGAGGATGAAGCTGCTGGTGAAACAGATGGTCTCAAGAGCTACCAGGTAAATTGATTTTCGCCACAAAATATGAAAAAATATTTATAGTATTGAATCTTTTCACTTATATTTGTATGCATTGGTGCAGAAGAAAGTGTTCGACCTCTTGTACAAGGTTGCAGACATTTCTTTCCCAAGTGCTTACAAGTCAAAGATCCTGGTAAGTTCTCACAAAATATTTTTGGAAATTGGAATATATATTGTATGAAGAAGAAGAAGCTTTACTGAAAACTTGCTATTTCCCCCATTTGTAGGAACTCATTGAGAAAGCTGAAACACAGCCAAACTTAACCATCGGTGTCCTCATTTCCCTGGTGGTGGTCTTCCTATCTCTCTTCTTAAAGCTTGTGTTTGGTGGTTCAAAGGTAATAACAACATCTTAGAATCTGTCAATTGTCACTTTGATGTAATGTTTTGATTGATGGTTTGCTTGGTTCTAACGAAATTGTTATTTTGTAGGCTAAAGTGGAAAAGAAGACGCTGGAAGCAGCAACAGAGACCTCGACGAGCGAGGTAAAGACGGAGGAGAAGGAAGAGACAGCGGCTGCACCAAGAAAGAGGCAGACGAGGCGTGAGAGTTAGAAGAAGGGGTAGATTTTGATTTTTTGGGCTTCTTTGCTTCGGTTTATCACCAAACGGTTGTTCGTATAGACAGTAGTGGAACTTGATATGAAGCAAGATTGTAACATGTTTATTTTTACTTTTTGTATGCTTTTAGTTTCATTCGAATCTTAAAATGTTTGATCAACAATATTGAGTTGAGAATTGATAACCAATTATTTTCTCAAGCCTGAGCTGTAGTAGGACGAGAATAATGATGATCGTTTTAATTAGATGGTTGATGGGACTATATGTATACTGAACACCATGGTTGTTTAATTTGCAAATCGGTTGGAGTTTTACATTCGATTGAAATATAACTCGAACATTTTAAACATTTGACCTTTGGAATAATCTGAGCTTTGCAAATTTTATATGATTCTATCGATTATAAGTGAACATATAAAAATTGTCATAATTTGTTTATTCTTGGTATGTTAACAAGAAGATCACTTTAAAATACCCTGAAATCGCTAAAAAGTATGTCTACAAAATTTCTCTAGCAACATGCCTAAACCTTCTCCAAGCTTTAATAAAATGAGATAAAGCAAACAAAAATGTATATACATATGTTCCTATATGTAAATCTAGCCTCATAAACCCTAGGCCATCACAAGATAAAAATGACAACTAAGGAGAAGCTTGACTCAATCCAAACATAAAATATAGTAATAATATACACAATCTTCAATATTCAAAAGACAAAATCATCTATAAAGGATGTTTACCATTTACCATGAGTAGTTGTTCGCTGGCTCTTCCTTTGCTCATACTTTGCATCATATGTAGGCAATTCATAACGCAAACCGGACATGTGTTCCTCATTCTGAGCCATGGTACAATGCATTTGCTATGGTACTTATGATTGCAAGGCAATCTAACCGCTTTGTTCCCGATATTTATCTCATCTTTGCAAACCACAACTTCATCGTTCTAAATATCCAACTGAACCAATGGGAGATTCCTGATGAAATATTTGGAAGTTAGAGGTAAACTGGTCAATCAACCTTTCATACTTGGTCCGACTGTGATTAACTTGATATCGCGAAACTCATGCCCAAACATAGATATAGTTGAATACCACGGTGGAGGAAAAGAAATAAAAGTTGACCCCAAAACACAAAAACTCTAAGCATAGTTCAAATTTCCCCTTATTTGAAGTCCTACATGGAAACTTTCTTTCAAGTTTATAACATTAAAAAGAAGTATAAATTAAAAAAAAAAAGAACAATCTAAAACGTTACAAAAAGTTCGACATGGCTTTAAACCATTTAAAAAAACCGATCGGCGCTTCTCTCCCTAACTCATGGTCCATTTGAACCATATCACGACATACATCGGTTTTATAATTTACCCGCGACCACCGGCAGGCTTTCCGGCCGGGCCAGTGTCCTCATTAGATGTCACCGTACTGCCAGATTCCAATCCTAAATTTGCGAGCTTCCTCTTGAAACTTATCATAAATATTCCTCCATGTTCATCATCATTATCATATATACCGATTCTTGAAAATGTTTTATAGAGAGGTGGGAGAAAAATCGACCTGAAGCATTGTAGCGTTTATAGAGATCTCATCATCCACAGAGGTGGGAGAAATGTACTATCTACAAGGTCATTTATGATGGTGATGAGGTTTTAAAATCTCTCACCATGCATTTGTCAACGATAAAGGAAGGCGAGGGTGAAGGTGCCGAAAGCTATTGAAATCGCTCGTCAAAGATGTCATGCAGAAAGTTAATGTCATACAAGACGCAGAAACCAAACACCTATTGTAGAGATCCTGAGGAGTGCGCAAACGGTGCAAACACTATTTGTGTAAGACAACTGCTGAAGGGTATGAGAGGTGTGAAAGACCCCTCGAACTCATGGTTGTTATGTCGACTAAAACCAATGTTTTTTATTTTTTGAAAATGACTAAAACCAATGTTGTAGAACTTTTTTGCTAATCGGTTTGAGTTTTATATTCGATTGAAATATATAACTCGAACATTATAAGCATTTGACCTCAAAAATGAATGAACATTTTTTAACAAGAAAATTACTTTAAAATACCCTAAAATCACTAAAAACGATGTAAGTTTCCTCTAGCGACATGCATAAACCTTTTTTTTGTTTGGGGTACAAAATATAATTCTCTCTAAGCTTAATAAAATGAGATAAAGCAAACAAAAAATGTACATACGCATGTTCCTCTATGTAAAGCTAGCCTCATAAAGCCTAGGCCATCACATGGCTCACACAGTGAGGCGAGTTACAAGATAAAAATGACAACTAAGGAAAAGCTTGACTCAATCCAAACATAGAATATACACTTTCTTCAATATTCCAAAGACAAAATCATCTATAAAAGATGTTTACCATTTACCATGAGTAGTTGTTCTCTGGCTCTTCCTTTGCATTCATATGTAGGGAATTCATAACGACAAACAAGACATGTGTTCCTCATTCTGAGCCACGGTACAATGCATTTGCTATGGTACTTACGATTGCAAGGCAATCTAACCGCTTTGCTCCCGATATTTATCTCATCTTTGCGAACCGCAACTTCATTGTTCTCAACATCCGACTGATGCACTGGGAGATCCCTGATGAAGTTGGGAGGAAAACTGATCAATCGCGGCTTAGGAAAACTAATCAATCAACATTTCATACTCGGCCCGACTGTAATTAACTTGATATCGCGAAACTCATGCCCAAACATAGATATAGTTGAATACCACAGTTGAGGAAAAGAAATAAAAGTTGACCCCAAAACACAAAAACTCTCAAATTTCCCCTTATTTTAAGTCCTACATGGAAAATTTCTTTCAAGTTTATAACATTAAAAAGAAGTATAAATTAAAAGAAAAAAGAACAATCTAAAACGTTACAAAAAGTTCGACATGGCTTTAAACCATTTAGAGAAATCGACCGACGCTTCTCTCCCTACCTCATGGTCCCTTTGAACCATATCACGACATACATCGGTTTCCGATCAGTTTTATAATTTACCGGCGACCACCGACAGACTTTCTGGCCGGGCCAGTGTCCTCATCATCTGATTCGATGTCACCGTACTGCCAGATGCCAGTCCTAAATTTGCGAGCTTCCTCTTGAAACTTATCAAGATCATTAAGAACAGCTAGTTTGTCCTTGTGCTCCCATTTCTTACGTTTCTCCAGTCTCGCTATTCCTCCCTGTTCATCATCATTATCATAAATACCTATTCTTGGGAATGTTTTATGGAGAGAAGGCGGGAGAAAAACCAACCTGAAGCATTGCAGCGTTTACCGAGATCTCATCATCCACAGCGGTGAGAGTCACAGCAAATTCAGTTCCAGTGCCTTGGCCTTTGACTCTTCCTCCAGATGTGTCTCTTTCTTCTATCACTGCTTTGAACTCTTTACCACTACCCAGCGTTACCGTATGCAAATACTCTACGGCTTCAGGACCAAAGTCTTCTTCCAAGCTTGGAACCTTCATGTAGGCAAGTCTGCAGAGCTGAGCAAGCCCTGGTGCTGAGGATACTGAAGGATCGATTGGTCGGATTGCGCTGTACGGGACTGTCTCTTGATTTCCATAATCGATATAGAACACTTCGAATTTCTCATCTGGGGATTGAACCGCTGCTCGGGGTGCATTCACAATCTGAACACAATTAAGAATCGATTAGTAAGCAAGAAGCAAACAAAGCCCAGAAATAAAGAAAGTGAAATGGAATTTACCATTGCACGGTTCCAGGAGTTATCAAGGCTAAACTGTGCAAGGACGATGTCACCTTTTTTAGGATTAAAGGATCCTAAGATGGGAGCATCTTTAATACTCAAGGATGAGAGCTGGTTCTGAATCGAAGTTACTTTCTGATCTCCAGCCGATTGAACATAGAACCGACCATCTCCAAGTACTTCTGTAACAACAACCTGTAATCGTAGGCAATAAAAATAAAATTGAAGGTTTTTTTATTGTATACAGAAGAATAATCTGACTTCTGTGAAGAATCATGTGGATAAATTAACCTTTAAGGTCTCCTTTTGCCTGGTTTCTACGGTAGTACTTCCATTTGAGACTTCTTCTCCTTCAACATAGTTTTCCCAAATCTACAAAAGATCAACACGGTTTAGTAAGTCACACATTTTGAAACAGATGATTTTCTTTACTAGCCATTCATTGCTTGTCACCTTCAATTTCTGGTTTTTAGCAGTTCTCTCTGCCTGTTCAAGAATATGTGCTTCGACAATCCTGTCTGCACCAAAGCTAGTCTGCATTTTTGCTAGGCCAGCTTCAAGCAGAACGGTCGCTGCATTTGTCCTCGACTCCCACATTGATCCCAAGAAAGTACCGGTTCTATCCACGGTTTCAACTTCAATCTGTGTGATTATAACAGACCATGAGAAAAACCACACAGAATAAAAGGAAACTGAGATGCATGTTTAGGCGTGCATTCGGTTTACCTCAACATCTCTCTGCATGATCCTGCGTCTCATTACAGAGATAGCTTCATCTGAATAAGGTTCACCACGTCCAGGACATCTGACACCAGAGAATGCAAAGGCAATGCTACATGTTAACTTTGGAATATAAAGCTTGAACCGATGTCCGCTGAGGACATATTCCACAACAGCGGGTATTCTCCTGAGTCTTTGCAGGGATGGCAGGAAATCTTTAGCTTTCTTAGCTGCGGCCTGAGACAAATATATGCTTACCAATTAGATTACTAAAAAGGTTATCAAGGAAAATGAGTTTATTTAAAAGATATCTATACATGTGTATATAGATATATTTACTAACCACGGTTAAGTCTGTGATGTGCATGGCTGGAGATTCTTTTGCAGAATGGATTCCTTTCTTTCCAGACAGAGCACGAGATTCAGCAGCCAGAAGAGCATCATAATGGTTTGATCGCTCTTCAAAATCTCTATGTCTAACCACATTTCCAAAACCACGGGAAAGAATAAGCTCAGCAATATTCACTCCAGCAGGCTGACCGCCAGCAATTGCTGCAG